TTTATTTATAATGCATTTTATATTTTAAATATATAATTATTTTATTTATTTAGTTGAGGTTTCGCTTGTCGTGCTTATTTTTTTTTCTTTCGCTGTTTTTGTTTTATTTTGCTGGTGCTGCAATTCTCTGCTGTCTTCACTAATAAATAAACTAATAATAATAATAATAAAAATAATAATATATTTTTATAATATATATATGTATATCTATTATATATATATATTTATATATTTATATATATATAATCAAAACTATACACATGTTGATATATATAAATATATATTGCATATATTGGGTGTATATACATTAATAAATTAATATTTTTTGTTTATTAATTTGTTGCTTTGCTCTCTTTGTTTTTGCTTTCGTTTGCTGCTGCTGCTGCATGCATGCGTGCATGCAGTACGAAGAAGCAGCAGAGCTTGCTGCAGCAGAAGGAGACAGCAAGGAGACAGTTAAATTATTTTTGAAGAGCAAAATGCCTCTAAGAGCTGCAAATTATATTATCGCATCTCTGTCTCCTCATCCATTTCCTTCTTCTTCTTCTTCTATTAATACTACTTCTGCTTCTTCTTCTTCTTCTGCTGCTGATTCTTCTTCTACTACTTCTGCTGCTGCTGCTGCTGCTGCTGCTTCTACTACTTCTGCTGCTGCTGCTGCTGCTACTTCTGCTTCTACTACTGCTTCTTCTGCTTCTTCTGCTGCTTCTTCTTCTCTAAATGAAGCAAAAGAAACAACAATAGACAAAACATATTCGTGCATAGGCGGCAGAGAAGTAATTGAATGCGTAGTGCAAGAACTGCTAAAAATAGAATTGATAGAAAAAGCTGCTGAGGTGTACAGACACCTCGGGTTCTGGCAGGAAGCAATTTGTCTCTTTAAGTAAGTTTTCTTCGCTTTGTTTGTTTTAGTTTTGCTAAGCATTTCATTAAATACTTTCACCACACACAGGGGTAGAAGTTAGGGTTTAGGGTTTAGGGTTTAGGGTTTAGGGTTTAGCTTCAGCTTTTGTTTTCATTATAATGAATCAAAAATAATAAAAGCATTACTGATAATAATACTATGAATTAATATTTTAATAATAATAATAGTATTGTTGTTGTTATTTTATTATCTTTCTCTAAACTATTATTACTGATATTATTATTATTATTATTATGCCTATTAATATTATCATTAGTATTAATATTAATATTATCAATAATATTAATATTAATATTAATATTAATAGTATTATTATTATTATATTATATTAGTATACTGTTGCTTATAATTTATTTATATTTTATATTTTTTTGTTTTGTTTGCGTGTATATTGAATATAATTTTAGTTCTTTAAGCATTATTCAGTTGCTCTTCTTTTGTTTTGTTTATTTATTTAAATAAACTTCAATAGGAAGAGCTGCAATTATGCAAAGGCTGTAGAGACAGCAGAAAAAACCTTTAAAAATCTATTGCCTCAGTTGCATGCAGACTGGGCTAACGAGTGTTTAGAGAGGGGGGAGGTAAGAAGAAGATTAAAAAGATTATTTATATCAACGCAACAAAACAAACACAAACAATATCAAATAATCGAATCATGTATCAAATCATGCATACATGCATGCATGCATGCATGCAGGATTACTAGTTTGGGGCTTCGTTTCAATTTCGTTGCATGCATAAATACATATATGACGAATGTACACATGCATGCACTCGTGCATGCATGCATGTATGCATATATATATATATATATATATATATATATATTTGCATGCATGCATGCAGGCGGAAGCAGCAGTATTTCATTATAGAGCAGCAGGGTTTGTAGATAAAGCAGTAGATGTCTGCGTCAGTAAAGGTTTCTTAAAGGAAGCGCTGCAGCTGCTGCAGGGACAGAGACAGCCCAATGCGCAGCAGCAGCTGCTGCTGCTCGCGCAGCAACTTGAAGCAAACGGAGATATATCTGAAGCAGAAGAAGCCTATATACAGGTAATGCATATATTAAGATATATATATATATACATATATATGTAATGCATATATAAAGATATATATAAAGATATACATATATATGTATATACATATAATGCCTATATAAACCAAATATATATATATATATATATGTATATATATACATATATATAAAGGTGTATGTATAAAGATATATAATATATATATATATATATATATATATATATATATATATAAACACATGCAATAGTACTTAGAGAAAAAAGCCTCTAGTTTATATTTGCGGTTATGATTTGGATAATGTCAGGGGTCTATAACCTGGGGCTTAGGGTTTAGGGTTTAGGGTTTAGGGTTTAGGGTTTGGGGTGTGTGTACAGGCGCAAGCTGCTACGAGAGCAGTGAAGATGCAAATAGACAGGGGTCAGCTAGCAGCAGCATTGAGGGTGAGGAGACAGTAGAATGGAGAGGAGACAGGAGACAATAATAATAAAGAGTTTAAAGCAAAAAGAGTTAAATAAACAACAACAAATAAGCATATAAATTGGGTGCTCTTCAGGTAGTTCAAAGGGCAGCAGGAGACAAAGATATGAAGCCCTTCATACATCGTCTCTCTCATACACTCGCTGCAAACAAACAATACAAAGTATTAAACACCGTTTTTCTCTCTGTCTCTCCTTCTCTGTCTCTCCTCCTCTGTCTCTCTCTGTCTCTCTATCTGTCTCTTTCTCTCTCTCTGTCTCAGTCTCTCCTTTTGTCTGTCTTTATCTGTCGGTCTCTTTCTGTCTTTACCTCTCTCTCTGCTTCTCTTTATCTGTCTCTGTCTCTCTCTTTCTCTTGCTGTCTCCCTCTATCTCTCGCTGTCTCTCTCTGTCTCTCAATCCGTCTCTCTCTGTCTCTCTGTCTATATATTTATGCGATTGCATGCAGTTTGCATATTGTTGCATTTGGGGCTGCATGCGCATGCATGCATTGTTTTTGTTTAGGAGGCTGAGGCTCTTCTTCTCGCTGTCGGTGAATTTAAGGAGACAGTGCTGCTGCTGCATGCAAATAAACAATATGATAGATTGCTGCTTCTACTAGACAAGACAGAGTCAGCATAAATAAATAAACAAACATATAAAGAAATAAATAAATAAATAAATAAATAAATAAATAAATAAATAAATAAATAATACGTAGATATGATGATAAGAGGATAGTAAATAAAAAACAAAGAGAGACACATCACAAATTCAATCTTATTTTATTAATTAATTAATTAATTAATTAATTAATTAATTTATTTATTTATTTTCTGTGATGGCGTTTAATAAAAGAGGGAGGACAAAAAGAAAAGAGAAAGCATAAAAAGTATTTATTTATTTTGTTTAGGGTCTCTTCTGTCTGTCTCCTTTATCTGTCTCCTTTAGCTGTCTCCTTTGTCTGTCTCCTTTATCTGTCTCCTTTAGCTGTCTCCTTTAGCTGTCTCCTTTATATCTTGTGTTTATCTGATTTGTTTATCTCTTTTTAATATATTGTTCGCTTTACTCATGTGCCCCTCCCTTAATTCTTGTCTGTCTATTCTTCTGATTTATTTATTTTATTGTATTTATTTATTTAATTTATTTAATTTATTTAATTTATTTAATTTGTTTAATTTATTTTATTTTATTTAATTTATTTTATTTATTTGTTTTTAATTTTATTTTTTTTTAGTGTGGAGCAAAGAGAAAAAATTTGCAAACAAATCGCAAATCAACTCAAAGACAACAAATCTCATCAAGAAGCAGAACGACTCTTCTTAGGTAAACATGCATGCATGCATGCATAGATGCATAGATTGAATCAATGCAAGCAAACAATGCATGCATGTGCATGTAGACGATTCTGTGCATGCATGCATGCATGCATGCATGCATGTACACATGCGAACGGATGCATCCATACAAACGCATGTATGCATGCATGCAAACCCATGCATGCATACATACAACCTTGTGCATGCATGCATGCATGCATGCACGCATGGATGCATGCATGCAGACACGTGCACTATATAGATGGATGCATGCGAATTCAAATGCAAGTATACAAGCGTGAGCATATAATGTATGAATCTGCATGCATGCATGCATGCATGCATGCATAAAAGACAGTTGATGTCTGTGTCTGCATGCAGCTTGTGGGGCTTGGCAGGAGGCTGCAGACATGTACAGAAAAGAAGGAGAGTGGATTGAAGCAGAGCGTGTTGCTGCTGCTGGAGGAGGTGCAGCAGCAGCAAGACGCATGCAGCTGCTGCATGCAAGAGAAACGCTAAAGACAGACAGCCCCGAAGCAGCAGTGCAGATGCTCCTGAAGGTCATTTATATCATTTACTGTTACACAACAAATCAAACAACACACAACATGCATGCATGCATGCATGCATGCACCTGCCTATTTGCACCGCTGCAGCAGCAGGCACTGAAATAGAGAATGCGCATGCATGCATGCATGCGTATACAGAATTGTGCATGCATGCATGCATGTTATGTTTTAGTGTTTTAATTGTTGATTGTTTGTTTTGTTGTTTAGAGAGGAGAAAACGCAGCAGCGGTGGAGTTGGCGTTGGAAGCGGAGGCGTTTGCTTTAGCTGCCTATACAGCAGAGCAGCACTGCAGCGAGAAGCTAGCTGAGGTGTATGTGCAGCTGGGGAGACATAAAGAAGCAGCCGGACAACTTCATGAAGCAGAAGAAGCATATTTAAAAGCGCACTTCCCCGCTGCTGCTGTCGCCTTATACAGAAAACGCGTTCGTCTCCTTACCTCCTTGCATGCATGCATGCATGCTTACAGGCGTGGATGCATGCATGCATGCAAACACTGACACGAAAAGCATGCGTGCATGCGTGCATGCGTGCATGCGTGCAACGCATGCATGCATATGTTGCAAGCATGCTCCTATATGCATATACATATAAATATAGAATATTTTAATATACTGTATAAAGTATGCATTAAACAAAAAATAATAATTAGTATACAACATATTAATATATGCCTGCATACTTATATACATATAATATATATGTATATATACATCTACACATATATATATATATATATACATCTATATCTGTATCTATATCTATATCTATATCTAGATATATATATATAAGCAGATTAAAGAGAAGATATAGAATTTGTTTTTACAGGGGAAGCTGGAGGAGGCTCTGCGCGTCGCGCGTTTAAATTTGCCTTCGGAAGTGCAGCAGCTGCTGCTGCAGCAAGCGAAAGCCAAAGTAGCAGCAGAGGACCTGCAGGTACACCTCAACAACAACATATATATATATAAATATATGAAGACAATTGGGAATTGCTTTCAGTGTACAGCAGCAGCACCCACACAGTTTCGAGGTTTTTGCTGTAGAAGCAGAAGCTATTTCTGCTTCTTCTTCTAATGCTGCTGCTGCTGCTGCTGCTGCTGCTGCGGCTGCTGCTTCTTAGGGAGCTGAAGCAGCACTGCTGGAAGCAGGAAGAGAAGACGTCGCAGTGCAGCTGCTGCTCCGCAAAGGCAAATTTGCTGCTGCAGTTCGTCTCTGTGGGCGGCGGGCCCCACAGCTGCTGCAGCAGGTGCTGCAGCAGCTGCAGCAGCAGCAGCAGCAGTTTAAATCGATGAACGAACTAAGTGATATATGCAGTGTAAGCAGCAACAAAGCAGCACACTCTACTGGGGTTGTTCATTCCTATGGTTTAGGGTTTAGGGTCTAGGGTTTAGGGTTTACGATTTGGGGTTTAGGGTTTACGGTTTAGGGTTTAGGGTTTAGGGTTTAGGGTTTACGGTTTAGAGCTGAAATGTGATCTGAGCGCCTGTTCATTCCCTAAGCCTCAGATTAGTCACCAAAAGCCTGCACTGTGCGACTTCAAGGGTTTAGGGTTTAGGGTTTAGGGTTTAGGGTTTGTGGTGAAGGCCCTTGAGGAGGCTGGTGCAATAGAAGAGAGCGTTGCTTTTTGTTTATCTGCTGACTCTCTTCCTCCGGCTGACCCCCAAACCCTTCGCTCATTCTGGCTGCATGCGGTGGGGCTTGCAAACTAAATAAAAGTCGCTTCATGCTGCTGCTGCTGCTGTTACTGCTGCTGCTGCTGCTGCTGCTGAGCTGCTGTTGATGCTGATGATGCTGCTGATGCTGCAGATGTTGCTGCTGCTGATTCTACGGCTGTTGCTGGTGTTCGTGCTGCTCATGAGGTTGCTGTTATTCCTCTCCTTGCCTTGCTGCTGCTGCTGCTGCTACTGCTGCTGCTGCTGCTACTGCTGCTGCTGCTGCTGCTGCTGTTTAGGTTGAGTTGGCTAAAGGGCTTGGGGACCCTCTCCATGCTGCTGCTGCTGCTCGCGCTGCAGCAGAGCTGCAGCAACTCGGAGACAGAAAAGCAGCAGGAGATATGCTGCTGGCAGCAGGGAAGAAGAAGGAGGCCCTGAAGGTAAAGAATTTAAAATGTTTATTTATTTATTTATTTATTTGTTTATTTGTTTATTCATTTGTTTATTCATTTGTCTATTTGCTCATTTATTTGTTTGTTTATTTGTTTGTTTACTTACGTATTTGTTTCTTTACTTGACTGTTTATTTACATATTTATTTATTTATTTATTTATTTATATAATGTTTCTGCTGCAGTGCTACGTAGCAGCAGAAGCATGGGCGGCAGCAAAGGAGTTGGGTGCAGCACTGGGTACAGCAGCAGCAGCAGAAGTGTCTCTGCTGCAGCAGCAGCAGCTAAAAGAGAAAGGCGACGCAGACGGCTTGCTGCTAGAAGGGTTTGTAGATGCTGCGGTGCTGCTGCTGGCTGAGAGGGGACAGTGGGAGAGGTGTCTCCTTACTGCAGCACAGCAGCAGTCTCCTCTATTCTATGAACTCCTAAACAAAAGAGTATATGTAAGCAGGTCGTCTGTCTCTTCTTGTCTTTATGTTGCTGTATATCTCTCTCTCGTTCTTGTGCTGTCTCTTCTTGTCTTTATTTTACTGTCTCTTCTTGTCTTTATTTTACTGTCTCTTCTTGTCTTCATTTTACTGTCTCTTCTTGTCTTCATTTTACTGTCTCTTCTTGTCTTTATTTTGCTGTCTCTCTCCTCTTGTTTGTTTTGTCTCCACCTCCTCTTGTCTGCTGTATCCTTTGCTTATTCTTCTGTCTCCTCGTCTGTGTCTCTCTATGTCTCTGCTGTCTCCTCTGTTTGATTGTCTGTCTCTTCTTTTGTCTCTTCATTTCCCCCTCTTCTTTATCTTTTTCTGGTTTTGTTTTAATTGCAATCTGTCTCTCAATAGCTGCAATAGGAGAATAAGAAGAAGAGACACTTGCATGCATAAGACGTCCTTGCTACTGTCTCCCTTTCTATTTGAAACCAAACCCTAAACCCTAAACCCTAAACCCTAAACGCCAAGTGTCTCCTTTTAGCGTGCATGCGTCTTGTTTTATTTTTTGTGTATATTTATTTGTCTCTCTGCATCTGCATTTAATTAAATCCTGCTGTCTCCTTTTTGTCTCCTTTTCCTTCGTTTATCTGTCTCCTTATTTGTCGTTATTCTTCTTATTTGTTTCTTTCTTTTTGCAAATCTGTCTCCTACTTAAACTGTCTCCTACTTAAACTGTCTCCAACTTAAACTGTCTCCTTCCTTCTCTAGGCCCTGCTCGAGGAAGCAAGTGCTGCAGAGGCGGCTGAGCTGCTTATTACAATCATTCAAGGCACCAGCAGCAGCAGCATCAACAGCAACAGCAGCAGCACCCACAGCAACAGCAGCAGCACGAACAGCAGCAGCAGCAACAGCAACAGCAACAGCAACAGCAGCAGCAGCAGCAGCAGCACAACGATTCGAACCGATAAAATTTTGTCTCTTTGCACAAAAGTCGCCTCCGCGCTGGAGCTGCAGTATCAGCAGCAGCAGCTACAACAGAGCAGCAGCAGCAGCAGCAGCTGCAGCAGCAGCAGCACTGACAACCCTGCAGCAGCCAGCAGCCCCAGTAGCCTTATAAAGCGTCTATATTTCTTGTAGGTGTAATAAAAGGGGTGGGGTTGTTGTTATTTTTATTATTCTGTTAACTCTTCTTATTGCGCTTCCTTCGTGCTCCTCCCAACCCTAAACCCTAAACCCTAAACCCTAGCAGTTTTCTTTCTTTCAGGGTTCTAGGGGATAGAGATCAGCCACCAGCTTTCAACGCCCTCTCTGCTGCTGCTGCTGCTGCGGTACCGCAGCAGCCGCAGCAAGCAGCAGCAGCAGAATCAGCAGGAGGAGGAGGAGGAGCAGCAGCAACTGCTGCTGCTGCTGCTTCTAGCACTCTAGCAGCAGCGCAGCAGCAGCTGCTGCGCGTACACCTGGAGACAATAATCAGAGAATGTGAAGGGCAGCCGGCATTGGAGGAAATTGCAGCAAAAGCAGCACTTTCAGTCTTGAGGTCAAGCAAACCCTAAACCCTAAACCCTAAACCCTAACCTCTAACACCTAATAAAAGTGTAAACGCACACAATGGTTTAGGGTTTAAGGTTTAGGGTTTAGTGCTTAGGGTTTAGGGTGTATTGGCTGTGGTTTGTAAGGTGTATTATTTGTTGTTACTCTTCTAGGGTTAAGTGCTTGCTGCCTAGGGCTTAGCTTTAAGGTTTGGGGTTTAGGGTTCAGAGTTAGGGTTTAGGGTTTAGGGTTTAGGGTTTAGGGTTTAGGGTGTACGACCAGGTACTCTGCTGCTTCTCCTTGTTTGGATTATCTTTTTTATCGAGCGGGGTTGAAATGCAAACAGGCGGGGTGGGAATCGACTGCCTTTTGGCTCCTCAGCAGGTCCTCTCAAACCCTAAACCCTAAACCCTAAACCCTAAACCCTAAACCCTGAACCCCCTAAACTCTAAACCCTGCACCCTAATCCCCAATCCCTAATCCCTAAACACTAATCCCTCAACCCTAAACCCTAAACCCTAAACCCTAAACCCTAAACCCTAAGTTGTAGGTTACTCCTGGATGTAGTCGCGCTAGAAAGAATTAAGTTGCATGCATTTGGCTTTCTGCAATAAACCCTTAACTTTATACTTTATTTTATTTGTATTATATAAATAAATATATATTTGTTTATATAAAAGTTTGTTTATATTTATATATGAATACAATGCAATGTAATCCTGTATTATAATTGATATATTAGTTTTTTATATCATAGATAAAAATCTATATAGAGGTATATATGTATGTATATATATAGATATATATATATATATATATATTTATATTTATATTTATATACTGATATA